TTGAGATCAGCTTTGCAAGGAACTGTGGTCCTTGACGCAGCGGGCTATTCCCTACCGGAGGAACTGGTCCCACTCTGGCATTCTGGGGACAGGAGACCCATAATCGCCCACACGTGGGTAGAGTCGAGAGAACGTACTTCCATTGGCTCTCCCTGCCCCTCAGCCTCATCCGTGTCGAGCGATGAAAGTTCCAGTTCAATATCCCGGTTAGACTTGACGCCCATGCTGTCCTCGGGGGAATCGGCCTGGGGAACAAGCAGGAAAGGGAACATCAAACATACGTCGGAATGAAACACCGTTGGGGGCGGAAAAGCCTCCTTAGCTGGCCATTCCTCCGCTCCATTTCCTTGCCTAAGAGCTTTAAGGTGAGGGCACTGCCCTCGCTCAGGGAGTCCCACTTCCGCTGCATGGCCAGGGTGTTGGCCTCTCTCTGGAGCAGCACTGAGTTGCTTTTGGCCTGTGTGGGAAAGCAGAGTGGGCCCCCAGATGGTAAGGATCCCTGCCCAGGGGCATGGATCCTGATAAGAGTTTGTAGCAAACCAACCAGCGCACAATTCAGCAGGATTCATTTATAGAAGAAACTTATTTATATACAATAATATAAAACACGATGCATGTATACAATACCCATGCAGCTCTTGCAACATGGTAGCAAGTACAAAGACAAAAAGCAGAACCAGAATTCAGAAGCTATATATTCACAGAAGCACACCAACTCGTATATACAGAGCTAAGCCACACCCGGGCTCCGAGCTGTCTGGCATGGCTCACAATAGGTGCTGTTTCTTAGTCACCAGACAGTTCCCATTGGCTGACTTGTTGTTACGGCTATCCCTGCGCATAATTTCTTATATACTGACAGATCCCGTTTCAATCTGGAAGCTGCCCTCCTGGCTCCAAGAGCCACGGGAGGGAAGGACACTTACTAAAATCCCTCCTCCCTCCCCAAATATCCAGCCTTTGGGAAAATCTGTACCTGTTGCAAATCAGTGGTCAGGAGGACTCCGGTGCTTGAGTGCTTTTGGGGAGCGGATTCCTCGGGAGCGACAAACTGGTCCCTTGAAAAAGAGGGAAGAAAAGCCAAGCCTTGACCTTTGGCCCCAGATGCATCTGCAGAAAGGGCCCTTATGGGAAAAGCTGCATTTTCTCCCAGGGTAAATTCTGATCTCAAAAGACTTTGCGCCCTGCCAACCGTGGGAGACTGTTCTCAGCTGCCAAGGAGGAGGCTGGGGTTCCTTGGCTCTCCCCCATGAACAAGCCAAGGGCTGGGGAGTCCGCAGCTCAGCCCTGGCTGTGTCTGTCCAGGAAGCCCATCCTGCTTACCGTTCTAGGAAGGGTGCTGAGGAAGTCGAATCGGACACGTAGCAGCTCCATCTTAAGTCCACTGAGCTGATGCTGGGGATATAATCTGAAAGAGGCAAAGGATGGGGCTGTCAGCTCAGAGGAGGCCTTGTCCTGCTCCTCTCCTCCTCCTCTTCTCTCCTCCTCCCCCCTCTTCTCCACTCCTCCTCCTCCTCCTCCCCTTGAAAGTGCTGCTGCCTGCACCTGACATGCTGATGGGTTTGGTAGTGCTTCCTTGGGAAGCAGTCGCCTGGACAGGGTCCGTGGTGTGGTAGCCGGTCCGTGATGACCTGGAGATGGCGCCCCACTTGGAAATGATTGGCCCGTCACCGAAAGGGATGATGGGGTCCTCCTCCTTGGCCTTCCTCTGGGTTTC